TTTTCATAAAATTTTCAGTAACAAAAGCCAGACATTAGGAATCGTTATGTTTATTAAAACCAAATCGCTTATTGTTAAAAGAATCCAGATGTTTATAAATTTTAATAAAAATAATAACAGTATACAAAAGTAAAAAATGTTCAATTCATAATATAAAAGGTTGCTTCTTAAGAAAGAGGGAATAGTGGATTATGTTCCTCTCAATAGATTAGTTCTTTAAAATATGTATACTTTTTCAATCAGCTCTCAAAGTTATTGAATTATTATTATTAAAAAAATAAATTGTTGTCTATTGGAGCTTTGTCTCAAGACCTGTAATTACTAAACATAATTTTTTGACAATAATTAACATAATTGTTAACCGAGTTCAATAAAAAAAAATATATAGGTGTATCAAATGTAAACATTTTCCTCCTCGAATAAAGCAATTTATGTAGTGAAACATAGCATGAAAATCCATTGAAGTTTCAGCAAATATTAATATAGATAAATAAATTGATGCATCGGAGCCGTTGTTTAAATTTGATGTAGACAAATGAATTTGTGAATGTTTAGATATAAATTTATAATCGAAAAACTTGAAACATTATACAATAAAGATAAACGGGAATTTCAATGAAACAGTATAAATTTTACTTAAATACAATAACAATGATCCCATATTTTTTGTGTTCAAAATAAAATTTACGCAGGTTCGCTGCTTTGATGTCGTTAAGATTCTTTCATACCATCATAATAGGATTTCATTTTTATAAAAGGTCAGTAGACAATATTTCGAGGTATTTACGAGTATAATTGTACAAATGCAATAAGAAAGTAAAAGAAATTATTAAAATAGGAGGTATTTTGTGCTTAAATAATGTTATTTATAATATTGAAAGGTGAATTCATGACTTTTTATGAGCAACACTACGCTTTCTTATTTTTTTGTTGGGATAAGAAAACAAAATAAAATAAAGAGCATCATTTGGTGCCTAAAAGGGAACTATATTTTTTTATATAAAAATTTTATCTTACCTTTTCAACAACTGTCATTTGGCTGTATCTTGAACATTTTTACTACTACATAGAATGACATTTTTAAAGAACAATATGCCGTTTATACTAATTAATGTTTGTTCGAATGTTTATATTTATATTATCTTTCTGTGTGTAGGAAGAAAAATTATGAGTAAAGAAATTACTGTGAATTACTAATAGGGTTGTAAAGTTACAAATTAATAGGAACACGATATATCTTTCGTAACTTGTCACAGCATAGCTAGTCCAAAACCCTGATATTTTACCAACTAATTAATTGAAAGTTAAATTACCTAGTACAATCAGTCATCGAATATGATCAGAATAATAAATTACCAGCTCAGTATAGCTTTCGACGTTTTAGCTCTCATACGTTGACTTCTCAATTAGAAATTCTCTTTGTGTTCGGTTTTCAATAATTATAGATTTAAAAAGTGCCCCAGAGCACATAATAGTATCCAGGTTATATTGCGTTATTTAATTGTCTGTTTATATTAATGTGTAATTTAATTGAGTGTCCATTACACTTTTAATATTTAACCGTCGCTAAGACATCAAATAGTTTCTGTGAAAAACAATAAGAACTAGGCCTGTATTGACATGCAATTACAAATCTTAAACTTATAAAACCGTTATTTAAAAGGGGACCGGGGGAGAAAGAATTTTGTCTTCAAAACCATTGCAATGATTATTTATTTAAAATAATGAATTATGTGGTTCTTTTTTTAATAAAAAATATTTCCCAGGTTCCTTGATATACTCGTGGTTATAAAATTTTGGAATAGCGTAAGCTAAAATTGATCAAGAATCGAGCATTGTTACATAATTTTTAATCAACATGTATGTTTTACTTTTTTTAAATTGATTTTAAGCGAGCTTTTGTCGATGTTCAAATATTCTATATTTTTGTGTTGTTATTTTTATTTAAATTTCAATCATTTACCATTTAAAACGTGGACTTGAATTTTCATAAATGAAAAATATTTCGTAAGTTTAGTTTTTTCTTCGGGAAGTTTTACTCTCGATTATTCGACGGCCCTCTTAAAATGCAAAATGGTTTTTTTTGAGGATTTTAAAGGAAATTTTAAACCGAAATTAAAATAAACTTTAGAATTTTAATACTGTAACAATTTAAAAGTTTTAGTCTAGACATTTTAACTAGTTCTCCCGGAAATTTTAAACGTTATATAAATAAGGTCATCCCATCATTTTTACTAGAACATTCTTTTTAAGTACTGAGATTGCTTACAAGTTTCAGATACTTTTCATAGATAAATGTGCAAATAATACGTAAGGTTTTGTAACGAAAGTAAAATATTTATAAAGTTCTTATTAACCTGTCAACTCTGAAACATATATTTTAGTGTATGTATTCTATTAGAATTCCATCTGTTCCATAGTTATTAGATCAAGGAATTGGATGTACGTGACCTCAGATGACCTAGTGTCTATTTCAGAATATCTTTACTGTATTAAACCAAGTTGCAAAAGCTACTGTGACCAAAATAACAAAGCGATATTTTGTTTGAAGTAAGTATAACTGAAAGTTTTTACATTTGCATACCGTAAGTTTGATGGCACAACTGATTACAATAACTAAAGTAATGTAACGTACGAAACTTTAGAAAAAAGATAGTGCAATTTAAACATAGGTAGAGTAAAGATAAGAACTAAGCAACTCTGGCGCTATTATGAATTTTTCAGCTCAAACCCTCACATTCTAAGAGAGCTCACATCCACACCAAGGAAAACCACCATAAAATATTAGTTTTTAAAAAGTATAATGACGTTCTTCTATTAATAGATAAATAAAATAAATTTAAAGTGTTTGTTTTTGTAATTTCAAATAAGCATCTTACTTCTAAACGAATTTAAAAGTATGTTTAAGGTATGTCTGATACCTTCATCAGAAATAAAATTTTTAAATTTGTTTGTACTTATTTTATTGTAATTTATTTCTCGAACTCTCGATTCTCGAACAGCTGGAGTAATTTTATCGGGACTTTCACTCACATGTATGTAATTAATAAGGTAAATATTGGTCTACTTTTTAAATGACTTTAAAAAGAAGGAAGGTTTCAAGTCGATTTCATGTATGTTTTGCTATTACTTCTTGAGTAATACACTGTTTTTCAATTTTTTTATAGAAAAGGCTTTGTCTTGAAGTATCGTAATCAAGTCAGAATATGATGAAGGGGTACTCGGGAAATCAAATAAAATCTCTCAAGGACGATTATGCGTTTAACCGTTTAATATAATAACATTTTTAAACCGATTTAGAATAGGACGTTTCTTATTGAAATCTGCTTTACTTTCGGTAGATTTTATAGATTTTTATTCAAAACAGGTGTATGAAAGAAACTAAATTATATTTAATTCATTATATGCTTATAAAGTTTTATATAACCACCACGTGTATGTATATCTTTAACGCAATTCAAATTCTCTTTAGAAAGAAAATATAGAGCACTAGCAACTAATATACAAACAATTAAAACATAGTCTTCCTTTTGATTATCTTATCCGTTTATTTATTAATTTTTAATTTTCTCATCACATGGGTTTGTGAATCAATATGAAAAGCAATTTCGCATTTTCTCTATTTATTTATGGCCCTCTTAAGTGGTTTGGATTCTTCGTTTAGCTATTTATCATATTTTTCTTAACATCCGTTTCGTATTTTACTATCCAGTCTAATTGGGAATATTCATTTCTTACTAATTTTGTCTTGTCTTCTACTTTGTTCACCTAAAGGTATACTTTTGAGGATTCTGTATTTATATGCTAATTTCACTATATTTGATCTCATACTTGTATTTTTTTTATTACTCACGATTTTCTTATCCCTTTTTGGACAATTTTATTAAATTTACCACAGCTAAAAGGTATAATACATGATAAACTTATAAAATAAATGTGTGAATTGAAAACTATTATTTAAATATTGGATGACGTAACGGTACGAGTATTAAGATCATTACAAATAAAGGAATCTCTTGTCCATATTATATCAATACTAAAATCAGCATGACTAATTTCAATGTTGTTCAAGCTTAAAATTTATGATATCAGCAACATAGTTTGGTTCATTTACATATTAAGACATAGTACACTCCACAGGCTTTCAGTAATATCAAGATAAGGTCTTTGTAACAACGGCTACAATAAATATCATGGATTTAACAACGAAATACGTTTGAAACTGCGGTAAAGTAAAATTAACTAAAACTTGGTTTGTATCAGAAGATATTGCATGATGTATATCCATGTATATCCATTATATGTAGGTCATAGATGAATATACAATGTTTAAGCAATTTTTTAGCAACTAACAATTTCAAATATAAATTAATATTAGTTCCTTAAAAATGTAATCACTCAGCAAAATGTTTATTTTGACCTTAGCTATTCAGTATTAGGTTGTAGTTAAATGAAAAATTGTTTGATATTCACAAAAATATGAGAAATATTTTGGCAAAAAATATGGGTATTTTAGAAATCAATGCTGTTTTGAATGAAATTGTCTTATTAGTTAATGTTTTTTATAATCTAAGTAGAGAAAATTTAATTAAACTAAATAGTTTTCCTGCGTTCTATAGAAAAAGTAATTTCTGTTTTGCTAGTATTCGTCATATTATTTTATTCGTTCCAAATTTATAGATATCATTTAATGTAAAAAAAGTTTTGATTTGAAATAATATTTTATCAATATAGCGATTTGCAATAAAAAATAATGAATTTAGTAAAGTATACTTTCAGTAAAGAATCAACTTTACGAATTAAATCAAAAATTTTAATAACTATCCCTCGTATGTTCATTAAAACGAATAATATGTAGAATACTATCGTAATGTAAAATAAATACAAATACATACTTCTAGATTCAACTCAGACTAGTTTTTTATATATTTTTTTTATATAACTAATTCATACATCAGAAACAGAATTGTTCTATTTTTAAATAATTTCATTCCTTATAGCAAACACTACTGATCTTGGAGTATTGGATCCATCTCTCTACAAAGCTGACTGTTTGGTAGAAGATCAACTTTGGCCCGAAGGACATGTGGTAATATGATAAAAATTATAGTTTAGTACACTACATTCACTTTTATTTAAACTTAAAATAACTGCCTACACTGCCTATTAAATAACACTACTTATTTAAAATTGATTTTTTATTAATAATGGATATTAAGTGTGCAAACTGCCATAACGAGTCTGGTAATAATAATTCTGTATTATAAGTGCAGTTAATTTTTTCTATCAATTAAATTTGACACGATATCACATTTGAAACAATTAGTAAATTAATGTTTTAACTCTAATGAAGTTTACTTTTTTGTATTCAATAAACTACGTGTAATTTGTAACAGCAATAAAAATAGATTTAATTTATATCCATACATATTTATAGGTAATATGATAATTAAAATCGTTTAAAGATTTTCTGTGTTGGGTTTTTTAATGGTTTTATCATGTATTTTTTGAGTAATTTTGTCACACGATCAAATTTATTTATATTTATTTATTTTTGACAACATTTTAGAAGTTATATGAAAGTAATGAGTAAATTCTTTATCCTAAAATGTGTTTTATAACATCAATCATATGTGTGATATGAAAGAGGGGAGTAAAGTGAGTTATTCATAAACGAAATTTCCACATATTCTTGTATTGCGGAAGGAATTCAGTGATGGATATTTATGTCACGCTTTTGTGGCCATATTATGCAAAACATTTTGTTCGTTTCATAAAAATAATCAAAATAATCAAGCTGCTATAAAAATGTTACTTTCAGTAGCTTTATCATTAAGATTTTTTAATTTAAAAGTCATAAATGAAAATACCAGCTCATTAAGTTATTTTTTTAATTTAACCGGTTCATTATATCTATTAATGTGTAAACACGACGTTGTTTCCCAAGGGACGGGTGTGGTTTACCTTGAAATATGAATCCGGCACTGAGAGGCTCCAAGTGCACATTATAAAGGCGAAGCATCTACCTTCACGCACACCGGCTCTTGCAAATGCATGCGACCCCTATATTAGGTAAATAAATCAAATAAAGTTTTGTCCCCATATAATTTATTATTTTATTTAGTAAATTTTTATGATTTTGATTTGGTCAATAAATAATTTCAGAAGAAATCTCAAGTAAAAAAACATTTAAATTAAAACGAATGTATTCTACACTACTGAAACAAGTCATAAAAATAAATATAATTTTATAATATAATTATAATTTTATAATTATTTTTATTATTGAAATATTATTTTTATTAACCTTTATTTCTTATAGTTATTATCAAATCATAAACAAATAAACAGTGCCACCTTGTACAATATTAGATATTAGTGAAAAAACTTTAAGATTGTTTCAATTACAACCTTATCATCTATTAGAATTCAACTTATGCCGGACGAACGGAGAGTTTTGCAGACGAAACAGAAAAAGAAGACCTGCAACCCATTCTTCGACGAGACATTCGTGTACCAAGTACGTATTTACCGTTATTTAAAGACTTAATTATCGTATAAAGTCAACATAACAATATAGATTAAATCAACGAATATGAAGTTTTGCTATTAAGTTTACTATTATACATATCATTATACTCTACTACTATATACATTCTCTTAATATGAAGTGCAAAACTATTAACTTTAAAACGATACTACGGGTTTTAAGCTGTTTTAATTAAAAGACACAACACGCATTTACCCTTAGCAAAGTCAATTTCATGTTGAAATTAGTTTTTGTGAAATACAACAATTTTAAAATTAAATGTTCATTGTTTAATTGCATACATAAACGACTATGTACTTTAACGTCTACCGTTGTAACTATTTCAGTAATACATATTTAAAACCTTAGGGGATTCAAACAATATAAATACGATGTAATTATAAAATTATAATTACGAGCTAAAAGCGACGTCATTCCCGTGACAGATTTAAATGATACGTAATTACTTTAAAACATAATCAAAGCAATGTTAATGGGTACAGAAATAAATAAAGATAATTAAATATTAACAGTTATAGCACACGAAACAAGTGATTAAACTTTTCAATGTAGAGGTCATTCTACTGTAACGATCTCTGTGGCTCTCTTTGTATGTCTTAAACAAATTCCTTTTTGATAATTGAAACTTTATATCTTGTTTAACGTTTACAATGTTATTAAATTACAAAGAGTGGCAATAATATTTATACGTAAGAGTATTTTATTTTTCAGTAAACGAATAAAAGATTTTTGTTAGTAAAATAGTATATTCCAAATAAGGTACTACATCACATTTTTCAAATCACAGTTTTCAAACGAATACATTAATTCTATTACTTCAAAGGGAATTCTTTCAAACTTCTAAGAGAATCATATATTGCCTTTTTTGTTACATTTGTTAGCTTTATTGGAATTGCTTTTGATCACATTGAATGTTATTATAATAAAACTATTTCAATACAACTTTGTTATTGTTTTTATGTGCTCTCTCCCTGAATAATAAATGCAGGTTTTATCTATTCAACAATCCAGCGAGATGTATATTTAACAATAATGCCAATATTTGTTCTCCACTAGATTCCACCTGGTAAATTAGAAACGCTAACCCTGAAACTTTCGGTTCTGGACATTGGAAGGGTTGGTAAAAACAAACAATTGATCGGCCATATCATTCTACCACTGAGTGAGCTCGAAGGAGTGGCTCCGGACGAGGAACCACAACTTTATAAATTAGACGTTGAGAAGGTTCGAACAAGTTTTTTATTATTTGTAGTTATATCAATATGTAGTATTCAATATGTATAACCCTATTTTTTTATGCATTTTATGAAGGTATTGTGTTAAAATAGCTTATTTAATTTTTATTTCAAAAAAGACTATTTTTTTGGAATAAAGCTTTAAATTTTATTATATGTTACTACAATTATTTTACATCCTTCAGTTGTATTGAAGTTAATTATGTTATGAATATGATTAAGATATGAACAATATTAAGTACAAAAAAATGTAAATTACCCAACAGCAATAACTTTTAATGACCAAGTTCCTCGTAGGTGATAATTTATTAAACGCTCCAGGGACTCGTACCATAAAGATTTGAATCATACCGGCAACAATGTTTTCAAACACGTTGGAATGTTTGTTATACGATGTAACATTAATTATTTTCCTTATTCCCCCTTCATTGGAAATTAATAAACTAGGAAAAGTGGCATATGTATACAAATGTTACTCTTTACTTCTTATCTCATTTCTATTATGAATGGTTACTAGGACGTGGTTAATGACTATCTAGGTTTTTGTTAATATTACTTGGTTTAGGGAAACTATCTACCACAAGGCGGATTTTACCATCCCATCTGCTCCGAGCATACAAATTGTTGAATTATCTCTCACCAACTATGTTTCCGGATTAATAAGACTTAAAACCTTAGTAAAAATAGATTTTCTTTTTTAATAATTGAAATTGTACTTTCAATAAATTTTAATTTCCACTATTATTTTCCATTGAATGTGACATGTTTATGCTTTATGTTAAACACAAAAAAGTTGATAAATTTTTAAAAAGGAGAAAGTAATTGTAATTGTTTTGTGTTAAATATGCGTGCTCGCGTGCTGAAATCTTGAGACCCTTGATATCAAGAATTTTTATGGTACAATTGATGATTGAAGAGGGAAAGACATGATATTTATGTCTAGCTTAACAGTAAGCATTTCTTGTGCTTATTAACCTCACTTTTTAAAAGATGATTGGTTCTAAAACAACCCCTACCTTACCATAGTAAGAAATAAATATTTGTTCCCTATTAATATCACTATGGAACCTATTAATGAGATATATAAATACATTATTGAATAACTGTAATTATGTTCAGTTGGCACTTTAGTTAAAATTTATATACTTATTTATTAGCATAACATAAATTAAACTTAGACACATACAAACTTGTCTTACTATAATTTCGTATGCATAGGAAGTACAAGATCCAACATCGGACTTGGGAGAAGTTCAAGTATCTTTGCTGTACAATGAAAACTTGAACCGGCTCACTGTCACTGTTATAGAAGCACGAAGTCTAAAGGTAATTTAATATTTATAATGGAAATAATAAAAAATATAATAAGAATTTTAGAATTGTTTTCGTGTAAAAGGATTTGATTTCACCCTTGGGAATTTTAATAAAACAACCTTGAACTAAAATATTTTCCTTAAGCATTGTTTTCGCAGGGTTCTTTAAAAAATAACTTCAGTAATTATTCAATTTTATCGCTATATTTATAAACATTGAATGCTTAATTCAAAAATTAATTTTGCTTTTTGACATAGCTGGATCCGTCTTCAAGTAGACGGGAGGTGATAGCTAGAGTGACTCAAGAAAGAGCATGTCGGGGAGTAAGGGCTCGTAGAACGGCCGCTGTTGAAGTATCTGAGGAGGGGAATGCTTTGATCTCCGAATGTTTTCACTTTAGACTACGACCTGATGAGTTGCACACTACCAGTGTTACGGTGCAGGCCCTACAACCTCACTCCGTATATGCCAAAGGTAACATATATACATGTGTCAATATAAATAAAATGTAATATGTAGGCTCTTTTATTTTATTCTCATGTAACAAGAAAATGATTACACGGTACTTTGAACAATTATAAAGCATACTGAATGTTTAGGTTCTGACAAAACACAGGACGTTGTTACACCTTTGTTCAATGTATTTATAACATTGCTTTGTTTATAATGTGTATGTGTAAGTGTAGCATATTACGATATCTCAGTTTCCAGTTTAATCTAAAAAATAATAAAATGTCCAATAGAGAAACAATTTATTTGTTAAATATACCTATACAATGTACTGAATAGAGAAATACACAATTTCGGATGCCAACAAAATCCTTAGCTCTATTCCCATCATTCCGAATCCCTTTTGTAGTGTTCAAACAATGTTTCATTAATGTCACTCATTACAAAACAAACAATAGTTCTAATGTGAAATTCAAATGTATCATCTAGATAACGAAACTTCATAAACCTCCGTAAACGTTAATTGCTGACAGCGTGACGGCAAATTCTGTAAGCAAGTTTCGTTGGAAATGAAATCAAAATATAGAGCCATTAGTTATTTTGTAATGAAATTAGTTCTATTTTATAAACAACACAATTAAACTGGGAAGGCATGAACATTCTATGTGCTTGAAACTTGAGTAATGGAGTAGAAATAATTTTTTTCTCCAAGAGAAGATTTTATGAATTTTTTATATTTATTAACTATCGACATTGTTGGTCGAAATTGATCTTTTAATAGCTGAAACCTAACACAACTTACAAACATACTCATGTATTAAATTTTAATTATAATTTTAAAGTTTTATTACTAATACCCATAATATAAATTGAATTCTTAGTACAAATTCAGTTAATATAGTTGTTATAAGATAAAGCTACGAACCATGAAAGACCTTATTATATTTACATTCCTTTATATGTATAGATGTTTTATCTCGATTGAATTCAAAGTTGTTGCATATGCTCATAATAATTTTCCACAATTTAAATGAAACCAATTGCTATTTATGAACAAGAAAATGAACGCTCAAGTATTTACTGAAGATAATTTTTCAGATCGTCTTCTCGGTAAGTTTGTACTTGGATCATACATGTTCACTAGAGGAAGAGCTCTACAACATTGGAACTCGGCGATATCAAGCCCAATGGAACAAGTGAAACAATGGCACCCGCTCACAAACTAAAATGACCTTGCCAAACGTACAACTGACCTAGATATTATTAATTAAGAAAAGCCTTATGTAGACATTTTAATAAAATTAATTATTTGCAAAAGAAAATACTAATTCCCTACGGCTTAGCAACAGTTTTTAAAGTGAGTTCCTGTTTCTCATATCATAAACATATTTTTGATTAACAATGATAACTGACATTGAATACAAGAGTCAGATTCATAGTAATACATTTTTATAAAGTTTTAAGCTATATCATGCAATGTCTATGTAAGGCAAACTTTGTAAGTCGATTGCATTTGAGACAAATGCTTTGCTCTTTTTATTTGGTTCTCACTTTATAAAAAGTAAAAGTATAAAATCAGTTTCGTATCCAAATTTATGTACAATACATATAACTTTTAGTTTATTAATTATTATCGTTAAGCACAGTTGTCACATGTAATCGACTTTGGACTTAAGATGATGATGCAATTTTAAAATCGATTATAAAATATTAAAAATATATGAATATATTTCTCTATCCTATATAAATAACCGAGAGATATTTAACTGATATTAAACTATATTATTCTGTAGCATTATATTGATAAATTAACTATTTTAGTATCCGCTGTTTTGCAACATATCAAGTTTATAAAATATTTGAAGTCACTTCCTAGCCTCTTAATCAGCATTTTACTGAAATTCCATTATCTGATCAAGGTATTTAAAAAATATACATATTTAGCTTGACTTCTTTTAACGTATTCTTAAAAGAATATTTTTTATTTTGAATATATTCCTGTCATTTTAAATATTATATATTCTTTCCTAGAGAGATATTTTAAAGGAATATTATAAAATAAAATTTCTCATTTATATGCCTATACAACATTAAAATATTTAATGGGAAATGAAACACCAAATTCAGGAATACATAAAAAAATCACTAAATACTTTTATTATTTTCAAATATTTATTATAACTATATTATTATTAGAGTAGATTCATAATGATATCGTATACTGTAGTCATTTCAATATTGTGCAAATAAAGAAATAAACGGTGTAACGCCAAATTGGCAATGAGTATGTTTTCATTTATATCTACCTAACTATTGAAAACCTAATAACCCCATGGCTAATGATTTTTTTTAACATCGTTTTCTTATGCCAGTGTTTGTAACTAAATCATAAGTATGTCTGGTACATAGTTACATACATTAACTAAATTTTTCAACAGAGAAAGACACAAAATGAATGTTAAAATACAAAACTGTTAGTCGTCATAGGTTTCAGTACCTATGAGATATTTTCTTGACTTACGGTTTTGGAAGCTTTCATAAATACGTTTCAACGATAGCCAAATAAGAAGTAGAAGCTGTAAATTTTACCCAAGCCAGCCAGAAGAGGATTACCAAAACATATATTATTTAACTATTTACCAAAACATATTTATTTATACCAGTTCAAAGTTTCATCTATAGTAAAATATATTTTTTATTTTAACCTATTTCTATCTCAGCTTATTTTTTACTTCATTCTGTTCATTCCTGGTAACTCCATGAGATACCAAGTAGGACTATCACTATCAGGTCAGAAAATTATAATATGTTATTTTGTCACTATAGTTATTATTAATTAAGAGTAATGAACTATTTATCACATTTGACAAAGATTTAACCTACTTGGTTACAGTATATTAAAAAGAGTAAAATGTGAAACAAATATACTTTTTTAAGTTATTCTTTTACTACTTTAGAAACTCGAACCGTTTGTTTTATATCTGTATCCATGATGGTGTTATCAATCTTTGTAATATCTCGGCTTTAAATAATCCAGTGGTGTTCTTCCTCTACAATAACTATTGAGGTCAGAGTAACGAGTGCTTGATTTTATCACACGATGTAATACTAAAAGTGATGTCATATTGATCCCGAAGCAACTAACCAAAGTGTTTCTATAAATTATGCTCTAACAAAGCGGACAGCTGGCATTTCGAGCACGTGATTCCTTGCTCCTATATATAAACATATGCATGTTCATACGTATCGATTAAATCGAGGGTAAGATAGTGGTTGATAATATGAACGCGTATGGAATAAACAAGGTGAAAACTTTAATAAAAAAAAGATTTTGCATTTTATTATATTTCGTATTTAGTACTACTCTTAATCCTCAAATTCTCAGTTTATTTATATGTTTTTACATTTTTCAAAGTTAATGACGTTTAAACATATTCATTCATAATAATAATCTACATATACATATAAATTCTGATAACTTAAGTAACGGGTTAATAAATAGTAATATACAGTACTTAACTTTTGGTATTCCGTATATTCGCTGTATACATTATTTATCTATTTTGTGAATGTTTAGATAGTGCAAAAAAAATGTTATACTCGTAATATCATTTAGCAAAAATATAATTGAATGTTTTATACTTAATGGAAACCTGATTAGATGTATTTTTTAATAAACATAATATCATTAAAATTTATAACCTCACATTTATATAAAGAAATTAAAAATTGTATTTTTTTCGTAGTGGTCACCTTTGCCTGTTACACAGGTCATAATGTCCTTGACCACGACTATTATTAGTTGACTATTTACAAAGGAAATGTTTTGGAAAGTATATTTAAAAAAAGTGTTGAAAGGTTTTACAATATGATCCAAGACTTTATCTTGATAAACTTTGGCTGAAGTGTTTACTCCTTTTCCAAAAAAAAACAAGTTTTGTTTCTTCTTGATAAGGCACGCAACACTAAACCATTATTGACATAGGATTACGAGCACGTCGTCACTTTTCGAAAACTTCAGCAGTTATTTTAAAAGAGTGAGCGTACAATTTATCATTTTCCTGAGTATAGTGTCCTTCAATCGTTTTTTTTTTCAAGTAATTACTATTTCTTTCACTTATGTATTGCAACAGGTGGCGTTTTTTCCTGAAATATTTCCGACCACTGAAATTTCTACAAAATTTGACTTCAAAACTTTTTAACCCAGATAAGCCTGAAACTAAAATTTTCTGAAAATTTTGAAAAAAGTTACATTATTTAGTTTATTAGATCTTATGCAACATTAAAAAAATTATGAAAAAAAAATTTAGTGTAAGGCTTTCAGGGAAACAGCCGTCCTATATGTAGGACAGTAGGATAATAAGAGGAAATAAAAGACCATTTATGACAAAACAGAATGTAATCAAACAGTGTAGTTTATTAGATAACTATTGATTATATTACCCATTGTTATATGTAATTCACTAGATTAACACTATTTATGAATGATATGTTTCAAAACACTTGACACACACTCCAACATCACATTTCTTGCAACGTGTCAAACATTTTTTGTGACATTGACGACAGCGTGTTTGCTTCTATTGAGGAATATCCAAATGATTCATTTGGACTTTACGACTATCAGCATGTTCATGATGGGAGGGTCGGCTAGGCCCTCTTTTGGCATTTTTTCTGTTTGATTCAATCAAAGCAATTGCCACCCTTCTGCGAAAGCCAAGATGATCCAGTTTTCCATGATTTATTTTATATAACTGCCATGCATTATGTTCGGCAAGATCAATCATGTGTGTGAGCAACGGCATGTACAATTTCTTACCTCGTATACCAATTCAGTAATGTGAAATATTTTCATCAGACCGATCCACTTCTCCCATATATTTGTTATAGATGGACACCATATGCGGTTCTTCTATGACAATGTTTCTCTATTCACTTTGTGAGAATCGTTTGGCAGATTGTTTAGGTTTTATTCCTACAGCATTAGAAGTACTGAAATACTGAATATATTATTGTCATGCCATTTAGCAATAATGAACGTGTTGTCATGTGTCGTTCTGTAATCGACAGCACCACGTTCCTTTTTTTCAGTAACTTCGATGTAATCAGAGGACAACTAGATGTCCTGTTTTCTCGAACTGTCCCAGTGCAACGAAGGCCTTTCTTTGTTATCTCTTCCAGCAAGGGCGTCCCAGTAAAAAAAATATCAAAAACTACGTGGTAAGGAAAGTCGAAGCCACGTGAAATCAGCACATCACAAAAAGTGAGACCAACGCTTGCACCCAGCCCCAATTCTTTATATATTAGATTGTACATAGTTGTAGCACCTTGGTATGGTTCCATCCATAAAACATACCCTAACCGTGTAGCACCAACCCAAGCTTTGAACCCGTACCCAATAGGTTTACCTTTTATGTGCTGTTTGCAGCCATGTCTACCATAGTAGGGGATCATGGCCTCATCTACACTGTAATGCTCTTCAAGAGGAGAAAACTCGACTTGTAGAATCAGAAGGTTCTCCTTCTGTATCACTCACCATAATCTGCCCTTGAATCATTACTTCAGCCGGTTGAAGCAGAATGTTTCGTGGCAAATTATTCAAAGTTACATTATTTTCTTCACCCGAATCTTCGTCAGCGAGACAGTCAGGATCAACAGGTGGAGGTAGAATACATATAAGTCGTTCTCTATAATCTTCTTCATTATTAAAAACATTTTCTAAAGCATCTAAAATTTCATGCGCAGCTAACGGTCTGTAAAGAAAAAGTTGTATTATTGTACTAAAATCATGTATATTATCCTACTGTCCTGTATATAGTACGCTAGTATTTGTAACAAGTTATACGTTATTTATTTATATTATTTTGCTAGAATATTTATTTATTACAAAAGTTAAGGTTATCAACTAGATATTAACACAGAAAAAAACAACTCACGAGTAAAATATAACTTTTTATACATACCTGTCATTTGCCATGTCTGCAACGCACTTTTATTACACACTTATAAGGTAAAATATAAGGTAAAAACTGTTAAAATAACTGTCTTTTTATTTTTTCTAATAAAGCTGACACGTTTCTTACTGCAAATCATAAGACTAAATAATCTTAGATAAAGAGAGTATTCCGATATTTTTTTTTATTTCTACTGTCCTAAATATAGGACAGTAGGCTTATCTGGGTTAATTCAAAGGCAAATCTCACGAAAATATGAGTTTTGTTTCTTT